AAAAGGAAAAAAAAGAGGTGAAGATAAGAGGGGTAACAAACCTTCTTAACCCGTCCCTCCTTAATAATCACCCCCTTGAGCTTGAAATCCTTCCTCTTCTCCTTCTTGACGCCCTCCACCTTGGTGACGAACCGGCCTGTATGTCTCTTCTTCTCGCGGTTGGAGATGCCCTCGCCTACCCAGCCGCCCCAGCCAGGAAGCGTGTTGTCGATTTCCTTGTCGTCGTCTTCCTTCTCCACTTCGGCCTTTTCGCGGTTAAAGTCGCCTACGACATCCTCGCCTGCAAAGGCACGCTTGATGAGTTCTTGGTCGCGGATGGCGAGGGGGAGGTGGATGGTTTCTTCATCGTCGGAAGAGGAGTCGTCGACGGTGGCGGCGGGAGCAGAGGACTTCTTGTCCTTGGCTGCTGCGGCGTCCTTGGACTTGGGCTTGGGCTTGGAGGCGAGCATGGCGGCGTTGGAGAGGTCCAACTCGCCGACGGAGGCCTTGGCGGCCTTTTTGGTGCTCTTGCGACCTTCTTGGGGAGCCTTGGACCAAGCACCGGCGACGGAGGCGGCGAGGGATGTGTCCTCGACTTGGGTGGTAGCTGCTTGTTGTGGTGTTACTTGGAGGTTGGACATATCGTTTGTGATGTTCTTCTTCTCCTTCTTCTTCTGAGCAGCCTGCTGGCCGGGGAGCGTGATCTCCTTCTTGCCCATACCGAACTGCCTGCGACCGATGTCCGTCTCTTCGACACCGTCAGAGTCGTAGTCGGAGTCAAGATCCCGGCGAATCTGTGCGATCATCTCCTCATTCTCCTTCCTCTTCTGGGCTTCGCCGCGCTGCATGAACTTCATCTGCATCAGCCCCGACTCGGCCTCGCCGTCCGCGTAGGAAGCAGCGTGCTCGAGCTGTTCCAGCAACCGTTTCTTGTTGTGCTTCTCATCGCCAGACTCAGCGGAGTAATCGTCGGAACCACTGTCTTCAGAATCCTCCTCGCCCTTTCTGCGTCCCTCGATCCGGCGGCGCAACTCCTCCTTCTGGCGAGCAGCCTCTGTCAGCCCAGCGCGGAAGTTGTCATCCCATACTGCGCGACCGGCCTTCTTGCCGAGCTTGGCCCACTTGCTGTCCCGGTGACGAGTGCCGACACGCTCGAGGGCTCGCCTCCTGTCCAGAGCCTCGCGCTCCTCTTCTGAATCGATCTCTCCCGCTTCAACCATGGCATCATGCATCTCCTGCTCGTCGTGGAGCAACTCCTTGCGGTGAATGCGGCGGTACGCCTTGGACTTGATCTTCTTGATGCGCTTCTGGCGGGCCTGCTCGCGCGAGAACAGTTCACGCTCGCGGCGCTTCTGACGGGTGATTTCTTGCATCTCAGCGGCCGAGAGACCCTTGCGAGCGGCAATCTCCTCGACGTTATCCTGGTCCTCCTTCTTGGGCTTGTTGGTGGGTCCCAAGCCGGATTCCTCCATGATGGCCAGGATAGTCTGTTCGAGCTCGGTACCCGCCGTGGCCTTGGTCACGGGAAGGAGTTCTTGACTGTCGAGGCCGGCGTCGTGGGCATTTTGCGCGAGGGGGAAAACCAGGTGATCCGCACGGCGGTTGTGCTTGACGGTGTCGATCCAGCGCTCGAGCGTCTCGGAGGTCTTTTCGTAGGCGGCGGAGCGGAGGAGCTTGTCTTGTTGCCTCTTTGCGAGGGGAATGTCGAGCTTCTTGGATTGCCCAGGCTTGGCGGCCTTTTCCTCCTTGTTCATGAGCTTGAGAGACTTCTTCATGTGGGGGTCCTGGACGCCAAGGAGGCCGAGATCTGAGAGACTGAGTTTGTTTGTTGGTTTCGAGCCTGATTGCTCCTCGTCGTCGTCGTCGCCGCCCGCAAACCCGGAGATCATCTTTTGGAGGTCGTCGAGCTTCGAAGGGTCTTCCATGTCGTCGTCGCTGTCTTCGCTTTCGCTCGATTCGCTGTCCGCATCGTCTTCCGATCCTGACTGCTCTTCGCCCTCCTCGTCCTCGTCGCTTTCATACTGATCCAGTGCTGTGGCGAGATCGATGGCGTCGGAACCGAGCGACTCCAAGTCATCGTCCTCATCTTCCTCCTTTTCACTGTCGTTTTCGCCCTTCTTCGCCTTCTTGCCCTTCTTATTTGAGCTGCTCCCGCTGAAGGCAAAGCCATCGAACTTTTCCTCGTCGCTCTCGCCAAAGGCCTCATCAGAGTCGAGTTCGGAATCTTCGTCATCAGCGCCTACACCAACATGCCATTCCTCGCCATCGCTGTCCTCGCCGCCGTCGGAGAAGCCTTCGAAATCGTCGCTGTTCTTGGCCTTCTTCTTTTGTGGCCTGGCGTCCTCGAGATCTTCCTCATCCCCATCTTCGTCATCGTCCTCGTCATCGTCCTCGTCATCTCGTTGTCTCTTTTGGGGGCGTTCTTCGGGCTCGTCGAGGTCTCGTGTGCGGACGCCCTTGGCTTTCTTTTGGGGGACTTGTTCGGCGGCAATAGCGAAGGCGTCGAGGACGTTGTTTCGGGATTTTCTGTCGGCAGTCTTGTTGTTGACTCTGTGCTTGGGACGCCCTCCGCCGCCCGACTTGGGCATTAGAGGCCTGCCGTGGGCTTGACGGCCGGGCATTTTGCTGGTATTTGGGATTTGACTGATTGGGGGTCGGAAGGTAGTTCAGTCAATTAAGTTCGAGGTCGGACAGGCAAGAATTGGGTGATGGAATTGTCGACAAAGTCCAGTGGTTGGATGGAATGAATGGATGTAAATGTCCAACTTTTGCCTGCACGGGTCCTGAGAAGGTCGAAGTGGTCAGGTCCCTTCAACAAGTCGAACCTTCAACTGCCAGTGAACAAGCTCCCCCGAAACTTTTTCTGCCGCCTCTGTAATCGATAATTTTTGGGCGGTGAGGGCGCAACACCCACCTATTTTGCGGGGCCGCAGCAGGCTACAAGGGTACCTGTCTCTCATAATCTCACATCATTGGCTCAATTGAGCTCCAAACTTCTGAAATGGCTCCACCTCAACCCGGCGCGGCCCCGGACGTCTTTGCGATTTCTCGATTTCAACCCCGTTGCCCGTCACCCGTCGCCGTCCGTTGTCTAGCGCCAGTCCGAGTCCGAGTCCCGTCTCCGTTCCTGTCCCGTGCGCCGGATCTTCAATCCCTTGTAGCGGATCCCGTCTCCGTCCCACTTGCGCTTACCTCAACCCTCAACCAACCGAGGGTATTCCACCACCCAGATCACCGACTACGAAAAAACAACCCTCCGTCGTCGTCGCCCCGCAAAGCGCAATCCTCCTAGCCCACCATGCAGCCCACTCGCATCCTCCAAGGCCTTAAGTACCGCAAGTTGCGCCTGACCACCAAGGATGTCAACAAGGGTTTCTACAAGGGTAACCGCACCGGTTCCATGGGTACGCACACCAGCTACGGTACCTACAAGATCGACTACACCAAGGTCCGCACCTATGTGTGCCCGGATCTGACCGGCTTCAAGGTGGGTGGTCCTCTATTATCGTCCGGGTTTGGGGTTGGAATGGGATGAGATGGGGGATCTGGTGCTGGTGGAATGACCGAGAATAGAGGACAGAGAATAAAGAAAAGTGCTAACAAGATCCAACAACAAAGCTCACCCCCTTCGTTTCCAAGACCATCCGCCCCGTTCACGATCAGTTCCCCGGCGACAAGCTCGGCCCCAAGAACCCCGCCACCTACCTTGCTCGCTGGAAGTCGGAGAACGGTCTTGATTAAACGGTCGTCATGCAATCATCGAGGGGAGGAGGAGGAGGACACTACGATACCAGGCCCACAGCGAGGAATGGAGCGAGGCTCACTCAACTATCAAACTACCAACGCAATATATACCCAAGTTCTGATTACATTCCGAAAGGCTGCCGACACAACCCGTTCGATGCACGACGAGCCACTCTCCACTGTACATTATATGACCTGACCACCAAGAATCAACCACCTAGCAGCTCCATTGTTCCGGGTCGTATGTGAAATTGGAACATGTCCAGGTTCTCTGCCTTTGGAGTCACTACGCTGCTACCTAGGCCGATGGTCTCGACATTCCTACCATTGAGATACAGCCTGCTAACCATACCTAAAAAACATTCGCCCACATTCAGAGGTGCCCACGAGACATCTTCTTTTCGGATTGGTTCTTTGAATTTTTAGGCCTTGATGATCCCGCCGTCACATTTCTTTTATTCTAGAAGCGATAAGGCAGATAATATGACTATACCCAAAGGTGTCCAATGGTACCTGTCCGAGATTCAAAGGGGTTCTTGTTCCAGTCGTTGGATTAGTTGAGGGAGAGATGTGATGTCGGGGATTTCAATAGGGTTAGGGTTTGGGTCTCTCTTATTGATTGTCGCCTAACTAACCTCTTCTACCCTTTTCCTGTGTTGCTTTTTAGTTCTCAAATTAGGGATCACTGAATGCGAACGAGCGAATCCCGTCGAGAAAGTTTACTATAACTCGCCAGTGCGCCCCATGGATGGATCCCATTGTTTTACATAAATATCATGTCCATGGGTTTACTTTACTTTGAATCTTCTGGCTGGCCACCCACCCCTTCACAATTGTCCCCCATGTCCCAAACTTCCAAGGGAATCCAACAATGACAGTAAAAGGAAAACAAGGTCTTGGGGGTATCATCAAAATGCAACTTGACGCTTTCTATGTATCAACGCCGTCGGAAATGCAAGCAGAGGGTGGGGTATATATACCCATGGTTGTAAATGCATAGAAATCAGACGCAGATCAACAATTGTGAAATTGTAGACCAATATGGGAGAAGAACAAGCGGACACGAACGAAATTCCAAAAAGCAAAAGGGGAACAGATATGGGGGGATAGGGACATATCTCCCGAGCAGCCGCTGGGTTAAAAGCTACCCCGACGTACCCGCTTGCTTTCTCCATCCTGTTTCTTGCCGCCTGCATTTGACAGGAGATCAGCGAATACCCTAGTTCGCTTCGCACCACCAGATGTGCTGCCTTGGCTCTGGCTCAAGCTCGACGTTAAGCTGGTGGCGAGGCTTGTAGCCGGCTCAATACCCCGCAATGTAGACTCCTGGCTGGGCTCAGGCTCTTGATGAAGCAGCCGTTGAGAGTGAGCCGGTTCCCCGTCGACCAAGTCCTGAGATGCAGTGTAGTTCTCCTCGGCGCCGATAGAAGGTATGGTACTTTGCGACCCAGCATCAGTGTCGCGACCCCCCAGGTCATTATCAACAGTCGATTCTTTGTGCTGCTCTGCCACACCCACCGCAGCAGTTGTGGTTTCTGCTGTCGCTTCCCCTGACTGCGCCGTCACGCCCGCGGCAGCAGCCGTGCTTCCTGCTTCAGGTGGCGCTGCTACCACCACCCCGTCGGACTGGCATGCCTTTGCGTTCGCCGCCCGAATGAAATTGTCTCGGTGCCATCGCGCCCTATCCCGTGCATTCCGGAATGCCGTAACTCCTTGCCGAAAAGAGTCCATGTCGCTTTCTAATACGAAACTTTTAACCGCAGTCATATAGTATTTGGGCCGGTCGCTTGGCGCGGTCGGCGGCGCGACGTGGTGCGCGTACAAGTTGAGTCTCCCGTCGTGATAGGTTGAACTGTATGTATACATATTGCCGTCGTAGACCGGCTCCTCCTTACCGTAATTCGTTAAAGCATGCATAGCACGGGCTCCGACTGCCCCGACGTGCATTGCTTGTCGCCACGCAACGCGCGAGTGACCATCAGGACGTTTTAATTCCATAAAGAAGTTGGGTAGTACCGGAGCATCGACGTTGTTTGTGGGGATGATTAGCTTTCTCAGGTTGCCGTCCTCGTTAGCACTTCGGATCTTTGGATGGATAGCTCCCATGTCAGCTCCGTCGAAGAAATCCGGCTTCGGTGTGACGACATCTTCACCAGCGATCGGCTCAAGGTCGGAGAAGAGGAGGTTGCTCAAATTGCGGATGTCGTCGTCCGAGGTGCCGGTAATCAATGGGACCACGGTGCGCTCAACGGTAGCTTCAGTAATCGCAGCTTTGTTCTTGCGTTGGAAGATGCGAAACTCCTTCTTGGTAAAGCGGGATGAGTCAAGGGACGGCCTCCTTTTCGAAAGGACCTCACGTTCCTCCTCCAGATTGTTTGGCTCCGGGGTCTCGGCATCCGGGTTGTCGGGGAAGGTATAAAACGGAGGATAGATGCAGTAGTCAATCATGAGCTGTTCGAAAGCACCATTGTACGCTGACGTCTTGGGCGTCTTGGTGGAAACACCACTAGGCGGACCCATGGTGTGTAGGGCGCCTTGGGGTTCGGGGTACTTGACAGCGGGTCAGCGTCCGTCTTGCCAATATATTGCAGCGTACCTAGGCATAGGTAGGTACCTACGTACCCCTCGAAGATGACGAAGATCTGGGCCGCCGTGTCGTGCGAAGCGAGCAAGGTCAGCTGTACGCACTGCTGGTGCTGGCCGTGGGGCAAGCTGCGTTTTGTTCCGCCGGTCGAGTTCTCGAAGTGAGATACGCGCGAGCGGAACCCTAGATAGCTTATCCCAGACTTTGGGAGGCCAGTAACGGCAGTAAAATTGCTGTTCAACTGTATTCTTGCGACCCGACTTGATCTTTTTGCTGCTGGAACTGTGCGAGAGGTCGTCGTCGTCGTCGTTGTCCGCGCGGGCTCTCTTTCGACTTTCTGCGCTCGCCATGACGGGCTTTTATCGAGCCGGCGCCGCTACGGGGGAGGGGGCGGAGCTGGGAAGCACGAAGGACTGCAGGTGAGCTGGCACTGCTCGCCGTTGCGCTGTGTTGTTGTGATGTGACGATGGATTGGGCCTAGCGCGTACCGAGACGGATGGCCTCCGAGTTGCTCCAAGGAATGGCTGCATACATAATAGGCAGCACCGAGCTGGCATGGACACCGGTATGTAAGGTAATCAGTGCTGTTGTGGTCTGGTGTAGTTTTCAGGAAGCCATTGGGCCGCGACACGTCCAAGTCATCCCACGCCATCCGGTGGGGGAGGGGGGAGATGGACACGGAAGCGGAGCGTGTTCGAAGGGAAGTTGATGAAGGCTGGGGGTTCTTTAGATGCATGGGGTTAAATGGTCGGCCGAATGAGGAGCTAAATACTCCAAATTTGGAAAATCAGAGTGGGACAAGCCTCGGTGCCAAGGGGTGCCGAGTTAATTAAGGACTGCGGCAGGCAGCTGGCTAGCTAATTAACCCCGGCTGGACCATACATACACAGTACCAACATACATACATATACATATGCCCGTTGGGGAGGGTGTCAGGTTTCCATTCTCCAGTCGTTCGTTTCTCAACCTCATTCCCGTCACGAGTCAGGGAGTCTCCTCAATTTCATCATGACCAGCCATGAAGGACATTATTTGTGCCGACAGGTACCGCGTTAACCGCAAAGTCGCCGAGGGAGGCTTTGGGCTTGTCTATGAAGGTACGTACGTGCGTGCCTTGCCTTTGCCGTTTGCCGCCCTGTGTTGCTGACTGCGCTTGGTAGGAACGGATATGCAGTCGGGCGAGGATGTCGCTTTGAAACTCACATACTATGATGAGGCCAAGAGCGCCGGCCCCATGCTGATCAAACAGGAAAACGATGTGTACAAGGAGCTGTCCGGCGGGGTGGGAATCCCCAAAGTACGACTCTTTACTTTCGAGGACGAGTACTATGTGCTGGTTCTGGATCTCTTGGGTCCGTCGCTGGAGGACCTGTTCAATTATTGCGCCAAAAGCTTCTCGCTCAAGACCATCCTTCTCATCGCCGACCAAGCCATCTCCAGGATCGAATACATCCATTCCAAGGGCATCCTCCATCGCGATATCAAACCGGAAAATTTCGTCATGGGGGTGGGAAAGCAGGGTAATACGCTCTACGCAATCGATTTTGGCATCGCACAGTCTTTTGAAGAGGCTCAGTCTTGTAGGAATGCAACGGGTCGCCAGCTAGTTGGGACCAGACGATACGCAAGCATCAGAGCCCACAATGGCCGCCGTAAGTAAAAATTAATAATATCACAGTCATCCATCCATCCCTTTACTAACGCGCCGGAAAGAACAATCTTGGGCCGACGACTTGGAGTCTCTCGGTTATGTCTTGGTAGAATTTGCCCGCGGCTCCCTACCGTGGCAGGGCATCAAGGCCGCCACCGAGGACGAACGGAGGGCGCGGGTAGGGGAAATCAAGGAGAGCTTGTCAGGTGAGGAACTGTGTGACGGCTTTCTCCCGAAAGAATTCGCTACGTATATCAACTATACCCGATCACTGGATTTTGATGATAAGCCGGACTACTCGTACCTCCGTCGAATTTTCAGCCGCCTCTTTCGAGCAAAGGGATTCAAATACGACTACATTTTCGACTGGACCGAAAAGTTATTCTACGAGCAGCTACAAGGTGAGGGGGAGGATCCTGTCGATTCTTGAGAGTATGTACCTTGCGTGGGTCAGTACAATTCGGAAACGGACACGACATGGCGCACGTGATCACGTGATGCTCATGGATCACCACCACCACGCCAAACACAAGCTGCCAACGACCAATTGCAATATACCATATACCCCAAGTTCAAGTTTGCCTTGCCTCCAAGCACCCCCGCGAATCCTGTCCGAGATTCAAGGGGGTCTTGTTTCAGTTGTTGGACTGTTGAGGGAGAGATCTCGGGGATTTCAATAGGGTTAGGGTTTGGGTCACTCTTGTTGATTGTTGCCTAACCTCTTTTTGCCTTTTGCCTGGTTGCCGTTGGGAAGGTACGTTGTGTGCCTAGCAATGAGGGGTATTTCTCCCTAGTTTCCCTAGTTTCTTCCTCTTCTGCCCTTCAGTTACTTTATTCTGATCAACCACCACCTGATTTCCAGAGGAACCCTTCGTTGTCTGGCGTGAAGCAATTTACCTTCAGCTCAAGTTTCACGACATACAGACGGGAGGGATCACCGAATTCGAACGAGCGAATCCCGTCGAGAAAGCTCGCCATAACCCGCTAGTGCCCCCCATCGATCCCATTGTTTTGTATGAACTTGTCCATGGCCATTCTTTCCCTTGAATCTCCTGGCTACCTCTTCACATGTCATCCCGGTGCCCATGTTTACAACAGACTTTCTCATAATCAACCGATACCATGAAAACATCTTCCCACTTCAACCATGGACCGATCGACAATACCATGGCAGAGGAACCCGTCATAAAGTCTCGCTACCCTCCCAGGCAGCTCAACAAGCTCTGTGATGCTTGCCAAGCAGTTTTCCCTACGACTGGGCCGTGGTTCTGGGACCTGGAAGACGCCGCGCTTGCAGACGAAGATGATTGGCACCTGCGTGACTTCAGCATTCGCGACCTTCATGAGTCGGCAGGGGCGGGCTGTCACTTGTGCAGAGTTTTTCTGGACTCCCTACTCCCACCCGATATGATCGTGGGAAACCGTCAAGGATACGCTGAGTGGTACGAGGCTAACCAAGAAATCCGACTCCGTTGCTCATTAGACAAGGACTGGAAGAATGTAGACTTACCCATGAAGTTGACGATTCTAAGTAACTATCAGGAGCAAGCCACCTTGGGTGAACGGTTCGATACTTCCTCTGTTCAGACACTGCGATTCCAGTCTGTCCACCCAGACTTGTCGGGGCAGTGTATCAACGGAACAGCCTGGATCGCGGATATAACCATGGACCTACTGAGAATCACATCGGGGTATTGGCCTTTCACGATAGCCCAACCGACATCAACCACCACCTTCGGCTCGTCCTCAATCGACCAAGTTCGGAAGTGGCTGACGCAATGTCTTGAGGGTCATGGAGATTGCATACCCTTCGAAGGACACCCTACCCTGAGTGACGATGGAAACTACAAGTACCAAAGAAAAATCCGTCTCGTTGACGTTGGAACCGATAAACACCCAATATTCCGGCTGGTCGATGGCGAAACTCTTGAGAGACAGGAGGGCTGCATTAATTACATCACCCTCAGCTATCGCTGGACAGCCGAAACTGACATCACGAGCCTAAGGACATACAACAAGGCCCTTTACCACGATTCCATACCCACTGAGACCCTGCCACAGATCTACAAGGACGCCGCCGCAGTCGCTCGGGCTCTACATATCCCTTACGTTTGGATTGACTCCCTCTGCATCATCCAAGATTCTACACAAGACTGGAACGAACAAGCCTCCCTGATGGATAGCATTTACACCCATGCGCGCCTGAACCTCTCCGGGATGTTTGCGGATCGGGCTGTGGGCCTCCGGGTGGAAAGAGATCCTCTGGCCGTTTCGCCGTGCATCATATCCCGTCGTCTTCCCACTGAACGCAACGATAACGAGGAGCGGTATGAACACTTCGCCTGCCTCGAAGGCTACGGTGCCACAGCTTTGTGGACCTTGCGCCCTTGTTTAGACGAGCATGGTGCCACCAAGAGCGCGTCCTGCCCATTCGTACTGTCTATTTCGGCGAGCAGCTTGTTTGGCAATGTCCTCGCCAAATGGCCAGCGAAGCCTTTCCGTCGTGGATCTGGCGAGGACCTTATGATCCGTTTTCTGAGATGTCTGTTCATGCCCACCGGCAGCAAGCTTTGGAAGCACGATTCATGCTCCTCGAGGACTCGCGTGACACTTGGGAAAATATCGTGAAGCTTTATACCCAGACTCAGGTGACGAAGCAGACGGACAGGTTGGCTGCTCTCCGTGGTATCTTCAACCGGTTTGGGCACATGTGGACCGAGCGCGAGCCGGACTGGTGCGTGGCTGGACTGTGGAAGCAGCATCTCGTACGGCAACTACTTTGGGAACGATGTGGTGAGATGAATAAGGACGACGAGGACATGACTGCTCGCGTAAAAGAGATTCTCGACCTCTTCCCTTCCTGGTCTTGGGCCTCATGTCCTTCAGAGATATTCTTCCAAACCATGGGCTTGGGTAGGGGTCACCATGTTGAGGACTTGGTTGAAGTTGATTCCATCCAACCTTTGCGGCCACTCAAGCCGGGGGATACCTACACGGCGTTCGAGACAGGATCACGCATTGTTTTGCGCGGATTAATCGCCCAACAATTTGATACCGAGAAAGTCCTCCAAACGTGGACCACCCAAGACTCCTTAGATGGTCTTGAAGTCTCATTGTCCATCGACGGGGAGCGGACTCTGAAATTCGACACCGGTCTAGTCTTTGACCGACCCCTGATCGACTCAATCAAGCACGAAGACCTTAGGTTTCTTCCCCTACGATTGTACTGCATGATGAATGACAGCTGCTCTGGGTACGTAGGCGGCCTGCTGGTAGAGTCACTGGGCATCCGGGATGGGCTACCGACCTATCGCCGCATGGGCCTCTTCTCAGCATTTTGCGAAACAGAGATCATTTCTGGTTGGCTTGATCGTGTCGAGGAGTTGGAAGAGAACATTGATGTTGCCATGGGGGATTTGAGAGATAAGAGGAAAGAGTTTGCAATTTTGCAGTTGGTGTGATTACTCGGGTAGCTTTATGATTGGAAGTCAAACATCAACCTCAAAGGGTGCGCACGGCCGGGTCGGTCAAGGATAGCAGTGATGGTACTGTTCATACTGTCATTTCAAGGAAAAGTGTGCTGGTTCACACCAATGCTTGGTTATCTTTGCCGCCTGCCCTTGTGTTCCAGCCTTCACGCAACTGCCACCGGCTTCTCTTTGGGAAGCAACGGCTCATTCTTATCCTTCTCCGGGCGAGTGAACCTCTTGAAGATCTCATCAAACACATCCTCGGCGTGCTTCTCAGCATCATGCTGATGAATCCAGTCCTCACGAGGAAAAGCAACGCTCTTCGGGTCTTTGGCAACTTTTTCCCAATCAGTTTTGTGCCATCTATCCCTTGTTGTTTCCCCAGTCTTTTGCACAGCTCTCACGCGGTCATATCTGCGCATCAGTGTCAGCAATCATTCCCCTTCCTAGCAAGCAAAAATAGGTTCAAATACGCACCTGATCTCCTGATAAGTCCTAACAGCAGCCTGCACCCCCTCCTTTCCCGCCCTCCTCAAACAAACCGCAATAGTAACCCCATCTTCCATCGCCTGCGTCGCCCCCTGCGCGCTGGTGGGCAAAAACGGATGCGCCGAATCTCCCACCAGCAGAATCCTCGCATGTTTGCTCACCCACGTCGGCAGCGGATCACGGTAGACCAACTTCCAGTCCACCAGCGAGGGTGTTTTCTCGACAATGGCTTTGCAAATGGGATCCCACCCTTCGAGAACTTTGTACACGTCCTCGAGCTTACCGGGAAAGGACCAAGACTCGTCGATGTCGTGCTCGTCGCGGTGGGTGAGCACCCAGCAGCAGTCGGAACCGTTCTTGATGGTGCTGAAGAGGAAGTGCACATCGGGACCGATCCATCCATTGAAGGTGTCGCCGTTGGAGCAGAACTCAGAGGTTCGGGGGTCGGCGATCATGTCGGTGTTTGGGAACCTGATGCGTTTAGCTGATGTTTGATTCCTAGGAGGAGAATGATAGTGACATACCAAGCTCGCCAAACAGCATACCCGCTGCTCTTGGGCTTATCTTCAAACCCAAGGACCAACTGGCGTGCTTTCGAGCGGACGCCATCAGCGCCGATGACAATATCGGCTGTTACCTACCGGGCACCTCATCAGTCCTCATCTCATCCTCTTAAAGTCTCTCAGTCCAATACCCGCACTTCGAAAAAGAACGGCTAGAATTCACGAACTCACCCTCTCCCCATCTCCCAACACAATACCCGCCTTCTCCCCCTCCTCAAAATACCCCTCCACCCTCCTCCCCAAATGAATCTCAATCCCCAACTCATCCCGCGCATACTCAAAAACCACCTGGTGCAACTCCCCTCTATGTCCATTAAACACGGGCGCCTCCGGATTCTGCGCCGGCGTCGGCTGGTGATAGACCACCTCGCCCGTATCGTACTTATGGATCCTGAATCCATATCCCGTGAGATCGATGGACAAGGAACGTAGTTTGGCAGCGATGGCACCATCGGACCAACGCGCAAAGATGCGGCCGCCGTTGGCGCCAAAGGAGATGATGTCCCCTAGGGACTTGAGGGTGGGGAAGGATTCGTAGATGGTTACGGAGTGCCCGTGGCGGTGGCATTCGATGGCGGTGGTGAGGCCGGCGAAACCGGCGCCGACGATGAGGATGGAGATGCCTGTGGGGGGTTTGGGGTATGGGGAGGGCATGGTTGTTGGATTAGGTGGTGTTGAGGTGAGTGATGAGGTGGAGGTGAATGGTGAGGTGTAGTGATGTTGTGATGAGATGCAGTAGTGGTGAGATTTCCTTGAAAGAGCACAGATGAGGAGTCTGGGGGCGTGGTACAAGGTCAGTGATTTCGGGGGGCAGAAGTGTTTCCGTAACTGAGGTCTGTTCCGTTGGTTGAAGGCAAGGACAACTTTCCCCTCTTTGAGCACAGGCTTCATTGCCCGAGGATTGGCTTGATGAGAACTCCAAAAGTCCCAACCCGCTTACTGGCTTGGGGATTCCTTTGGATGTGCAACCATGTGCCCAAGAGACCAATACCCGAGCTTCTCAACCTTGTCTCTACCTCAATATTTCACGATAGCGTTATGTCCTGAAGAAAGCTAGACAAACTGCGGTTCTCGAGTTGGGTTGGTCGCCCATAAACGCGGAATAGATTTCCCGACGCCAAGCTCCCCTTTTTGAAAACGCAGTCAGCGTTGCGTTCCAACAGCATCGTTTTCTTTTGTTTCAGCCTATGATAGCTGAATTTTGGAATTGCTCTCTTTAGCCGTGGTGTTCTTACCCCTCATCCTGCCGCACCCGCATTCCAGTCCGGGTATTATGGTCTGGCAGATACGGGATACACTGTGACGGGTGCATGTGGGTGACGGAAGGGACCAAGTACGTAAGAATAAGGCTTTGTCGTGAGGGGGGCAACCGCAGTACAAAGTATAACGGTAGAAGCTGGTATATTCTCTCTTCCCCGCAGAATATTGGTAAGGTAGTCTGCACATCCCATGCTCCGGGAGTCTTTGCGATGCAGTGGCAGTCACCAAGGAGGGCTCATTTCCGTCCGCAAAAGGTCGTGCAATTGCGACTTGATTCGAAGGTGGCTTCTACCATTTCTCTACCGGAATAAAGGATTGGGAATTATTAAATTGCATTATCGCGGACAGTATCGAAGACTGTCTGCATTGAGATTTGGTGTTGCCCAAATGGAAATGCGAAACACCAAGATTATGCATGTCTTTATAAGTACTAGGTGCAAGGTTCGTCCCCATCAATCAGCTACGACAGTTGCTCAACAACTGTGAATCTTCCGTAGTATAGTGGTCAGTATGTGAGCTTGTCAAGCTTGAACATCAGTTCGATTCGCTCGAGACCCGGGTTCAATTCCCGGCGGGAGAGACCAATTCATTTTTTTTTTTTTGCTGTGATCGGGGACGAGGATCCACTCGATGTAAAGAAACCCCCTGGCTTCTTTTGACGACGGCTTTATAGACGTCAATAACAAGCTTCTTCCAACTGCACAGATCCCAACCCAGCCGACAACCTAGTCACAACCAGTAGCTGCCTACAGCAAGTCCGGAAACACCACCTTCACTTCACCTTCACCATCTTGATATTCCCCTTTTCATCAAACTCGGGCATCTCCGCCACCTCCCTCTTTTTCTGCTGGTAAAACGTGCTCATCCGATACCTACTCTCCCCATCGAACACTTTCAGATCCCTCAACGCCTGCTCCCCCTCCCTGACCACCATCTTCCTAATCTCCTCACTTCTCGGTACAATCTCACACCGAAACGGCTGCGGTCGCATATTCAACCCATTCGTATACGCAAAGATATCCACCTCCTCCTCCTTCCCCGTCTCCGGGTCTCTATACTTTTCAATCGTAAACCCCCACAACAGTCTCGCCACCGTAATCCACGTCCCCTGCTCCGCCAGCGCCTGCCCCGAACAAACCCTTCGTCCCCATCCAAACGTCATGTACCCCTTTTCTCCCGGAAACGGTCGGTGGTGATCATTCCCCGGCAGATACCGATCCGGATAAAACCTGTCTGGGTCCGGGAACTCGCGCTCATGGTGGTGGATGGCCCACACGTTGCCCTGCACCCAGCTATGCGGCGGGATGAAGTACCCTTTGTAATAGTCTGGTGAGGTATTAGAGTGCGGTTGGCCGCCGATGATAGCGACGGAGCGCCAACGGAGGACTTCCTTCACGTAGGCGTTAATGTAGGGTAAATTGGGCGCGTCGTCCCAGTGGGGAGAGCGGCCAGCGGGGCCAAGGACGCGGTCGAGTTCCGATTGGGCTTTGTGCATGGCGTCGGGGAAGGCAAGGCAGGAGAGCATGAAGGTGATGAGGGTTGAGGAGGAGGTGTCGGAGCCGGCGCCGAAGAGGTTACCCGTAAGGGAGGAGAGCTCGGATTCGGGAAGGGAGTATTGGCGGGAGGCGTCCATGAGGGTTTTGATGTAGGGGGTGGGCATGGAGGCTTTGGCGAGGGGGGACTTGGATTCGTATTGGGCGAGGGCTTCGAGGGCGAGGGAGTGGAAGAAGTAGTGCCCACCCCCGCCTTTTTGGCCGCTGCGGCCGCCGCTGCGGTAGTTGGTGCCGCGGAAGAAGGGGAGCCAGCGGGGGAAGCGGGCGAGGACTTGATGTTTGGGTTGTTAGTACCGACAGACAGATAGACAGACTGACAGGTAGGTCGAGAGGTAGGAAGGGAGGAAGAGAGAGAGGGAAAGGGAAAAGGGGAAAGGGGAAAGGGAAAAGGGGAAAGGGGAAAGGAAAAGGGGGGTGCTCACAAGGAAAAGTTTCAAGCAACATGGGAAACCTCTTCCCCGGCACATTCAAATCAGCAGCTAACTGCATCAACGCAATCACCTCCGTGATAATCGGGTCATTGTAACTCGCTACCCTCCTCCCAAACGCAATGATACTGACAACACTGGTCGCGTACCGCTCCAAATGCTTGACATATTCCTTTGGCTCACGCAAGTAATCCAAGGCAACGACTTTGCTCTCGTTGTTCTGGATCTCTCGATACCCCCGGACGGACTGGATGCCGACACCCAGGTGCATCAACTTGCGGTGAATCCGCCAGTGGTCGCGGTCATTGTTGTTCAGGATGCGCATGGTAACAAGGTTGTTTTGGCCGGTGCCGAGTTCGCCGAAGACGACCATGCGGGGGCGGGAGGCGTAGATCTGCGCTTTCTTTTCGAGGATTTCGTGGGCGCACCAGGCGTCGTTGATCCAGATTGTTGGGTTACTGGGATGTGTTAGTGACAGGACCTATGGTGATGTTGGGGATGAGCGTACCGGCCTATCCAAAAGGTGATCAGTGGCGTCTCATACTTCTTGGAGAGCTCTTCGAAATAAATCCATGGCTTGTTCTCTGGTAAAGAGAAGGTGTTGCCTATGATGGGCCACGGGAAGGGGCCCGGAGGCATCTTGGAGCGAAGCCATAGCATGTAGCCATAGTCGATGATGATTGCGATGAGTACTAGGGCGAGAGTGAAGACCAAGAGCTTGTAGAGATTGACATTGGTCAGAGCTTCCTCCGTTTTGTGGAGGGCGAATAGATCTAGCAGCTTGTCTGACAGCATTTTGCCCGTCAGTAGCGCTGTTGGGCAAACTCTTCTGTTTGTCTTCTGTAGAACAGGAAAATCAACAACGTCTTTGATGGCCAAGGGTTGTTTGTTGAAATGTGGCCGACACTGGCAGTCAGTGTCTGGGATGCAGATTAAGTGACTTGTAAAAACTCAAGGGCCGTATCCCATCAAGTCATACCCAATTCTTGGCTTGGCCAATATAGCATCCCTTTCGACCTGATACAAGCCATCACGAAGCCTTTCAGCCTACGGATGGTGGGTGGGAGGTTACGAGGTAGCAAGAGGGGTATGCCAGGATCTGGTTCGCCTATGAGGAAGAGTAATTGCTGCGGTTCGGATGGTTATTGTTGACGTGATGTCCCACAGCCTCATGAATCCCGTGTCGGCTATAGATCTATGTCCCGCCATGCTTTTGTCCAACGGAATGTTGAGAAGTGCGGGAAAATGCGGGAAAATGCGGGAGGAGGAATATACCATGCCGTATGTAGTTGTGATTGCGATGTGGGAAGCAAACAGCTAGATTTATTGCACCTTTTCCATTGCCCTTCATCTCCCCTCTGTTCCGTACGTGCGGCTTCAACAAAGATGAGGCTGAATGTCAGGCGGGTCCTTGAACTTGAACATCTTACCCACAGCTCGAACCTTCCCATCACCCTCGTATCCGTCCGCCTCGGGCCATCCGAGACATGGCGATGCCCTTATCACAGCTCGAAGCTTCTTCTCCTCTACACCACAACAGAGACGGTTCAAAAAGACACAGTCCACTCAGATTCTCTCCGACTTACACCCCCTCATTCCCCAGTCCAGCTCCCTCCCAAACCGTGGTTCTGCTGCAACCTCATCCATTACCCCACACTCAACGGGGACCAATCCATCCAAGACATACACCGGGTGGCCATCCAACCGAACTTTAGGACGTGCCGGATGTACAGTATCCAGAATGAGCCGCTGGTTCATTGTCGTCCACCGTTCGTCTATGTCTTGGCGAATATGGTTTCCATCTTCAGATCACCTCGCTACACCCTGTCACCGGCCAGTGCCCACTTAACCGGCTGGGCTTCAGGCGACGGATACCACCCCTCATCCATAAGTGAGACATGTACATGTATGCTAACGGCAAACATGGTTGATCAAACGCCGGTAGTTAAAATAATTGGACCTGAATAAATGAGGAAGTTCGCCCCGTGAGGAGGCAGAATGAAACTGGACGAACATTGGGGGTTTAGTCCGAGGGGGAGTAGTGAATGGCGATGAACCATGGTGGAGGAGCCTAGAAAGAGCTGTATGAGGACAAAGCCACGGTAGATACGGGAGCTGTGCAGGCGGTTTGGTGGCCATATGCATATGTGAAGAAAGGACAGAAGCGGAATTGGGCCGCCAAAATCACTTAATAGACGGCAGACCGCAAGTCAGATGTGAGTGTCAACATGAAGACGTGTGTGTATAGGAGCGTGTGGAGCGGGAATGGCTACATTTTGTTGTGCAGTAATGCGAGCAGGGAAGGTTGACCGGCTCGAAATGAAGACTACACCTTCACAGTCGAAAAATAAGAGCTGTGCTGTTGGTGAATCTTGCCGCCACGGTCTGGACGTCTGGATGCCGTGTCGAAGCCGTATGAGTGTTGATCACCAACGGTAGTCGTACGTTTGCACGTGGTCTTTATGGCTCCTCCTCTCTAGACCATCGAACCCACTTAAGTCCCCATGCAGTTGAGATTGGAATTGTCCCACTATTCCCCCAAGGTTGCAACTCCAACTTGACTTGGATCTCAACTCCAAGTTTCCTCTTGTTCGAGTGCTTGTCCTTTCAATCAGAGTTGAAGACAACACCAACCATGTCCTCCAAAGACACAGCCTCCACTATGGTGGACAAGGACGTCGAACACCCCGTCGACACACCGGTAGCCATAACCGCAGAAGTTGAAGAGAAATACGGCATCAAGGCCCACTGGAAGTGTCTCGCGGCCTGCACTTTGGTGTCCATGTGTCCCTTCCAATACGGCCTTGACTTTGGTTTAATCGGCGGGTTGCAAGCCATGATTGGGTTTCTCAAGGTACCTTAAACAAACCTCAGTCCCTTCTCCCATCCTCCTCTTCATTCCCATTTCACCACAAAGTGACACTAACATCCACAGGTCTTCGGCCACCCAGCCCCCCACGTAGCCGGCGGCTGGAACATCTCCCCCTCCCGACAACAACTCATCTCCTCGCTCATGACCCTCGGCGCCTTCCTGTCTTCCTCTCTCGCCGGCCCCACCGCCACTTTTCTTTCCCGTCGCCAAACCATCTGGGCTGCTTCTCTGCTGTGTATCGTCTCCAACGTCATCATGATGGCCACCACCTCCATCGGCGGGCTCTACGCCGGCCGCTTGTTACTTGGTCTAGCAAACGGGTTCTACATGACCTTTTCGCAGCTTTACATCCAAGAGGTAGCGCCAGCTCGGTATCGCGGACTGATGATTTCCAGTTTTCAGGTGTGGACGAGCGTAGGTACAGTGATTGGCGGGGTGGTAGATAACTTTACTGAGAAGATTGATGGAAGAGACAGTTACTTGATCCCGCTGGGATTGATCTTTGTGTTTCCTGTGGTGATTAGTGTGGGACTCTTTGCGGTTCCTGAAAGTCCACGGTGGTTGATGATGCAGGGACGCGAAGAGCAGGCGAGAAGCAGTCTAAGGTGGCATCGCCCGTATACGGATCGGATGGTGGAGGAGGAGATCAAGGATATTCAGCTGGCGCTGGCGGCGGAGGGGGAGACGGTCAAGGGGGCGAGTGTGTGGGATATGTTTAGGGATCCGGTGAATAGGAGACGGACGGTGTTGGCGGTTTGTGGGTTGACGGTGCAAGGGGCGTCAGGGGCTATGTATATGATTGGTATGTTTGATTCATGATAACCTTGTGGTGGTGGTGATGGATGATGGCTGACGAGCAACAGCATACGGCACTTATTTCTTCAAGATGGCTGGTATCGGCAAGCCGTTCGAGAACCACGTCATCTTGACATCCCTTGGCGTGGTGGCTATCCTCGTCAACTCGGCTATGGTCACGCACTTTGGTCGTCGGCGCGTCTTCCTCATCAGCGGTCTGATCCTCTGCGGTATTGCCCAGCTCCTTATAGCCGTTGTGTATACCGTCACGCCGGGCACCAAGTCCACTGGCCAAGCCATAGTTGGACTCGCTGTTGTCTATATCCTGGGGTATAACGGCATGGTAGCGACGTACGCGTGGATCTCGGGCGGCGAACTCCCTTCGCAGAGGTTGCGGTCGTACACGTTCGGACTGGCGACAGCGATTGGATTCTTTGCGGCTTGGTTGACGACGTTTACGGCGCCGTACTTTATCAACCCCGAGTCGATGAACTGGGGGCCGAAATATGGGTATATCTGGACGCCATCGTGTTGGATTTCTGCGTGAGTGTTCCCCTGTCCCCCGATCAGTTGACGATGCGCTAACGAGAAGAGCGCGCGTAGTCTCTGGGTGTACTTCTACCTACCAGAAGTCAAGGGCCGTACCCTGGAGGAGATTGACCAAATGTTCGAGGCGCGATTGCCGGCAAGGAAGTTTCGCAAGTATGTGTGTGTTGGTCGCGGTGGTGGTGGTGGTGTTGCAAACGAGTGGGACAAGAACAGTGTCAATTGGGAGAAGAAGGGCGACGAGCTGGTGCATGCGGAAGAGGTGAAGCGGGTGGTGTCCAGTTAGTCACTTAACAGGAAAGGTGCTGGAATCACAGCAGAATGGGTGGGATCTGATAGCGCAAGAACACTTATTCACATTACCATTTCAAAACACATCCGATGACGTCTGCATCCCAATAAATATTCCGTTTTATTTTCCTCCGCGTTGGTATCTCTATCATCACCACCAATCTCTCCCTCTACATATTCCACTGTGAGGAAGCCTTTTCATCCAACTTGATAATAACACTCTTAACCTCCAAAAAGTGATTCATGCTGTGCAACCTCCCCTCCCGCCCCTGCCCACTCCCCTTATACCCCCCAAACGGCAAATCCCTCCCCATCGACGGACTCGAGCAGTTAATACTGACATAGCCGCTCTCCAGCGCCTTGGCCATCCTCATCGCCCTACTAAGATCATTGGTAAACACGGCCGCCCACAAGCCATACTCGGTATCGTTCGCCTTGGCCACCACCTCCTCCTCCGTCTCAAACGTGTTAATATTCAACACCGGCCCAAAGATCTCCTCCTTCATGATCTTGGCATCTTCAGGCGTGTCGAGGAACACCGTCGGCTCAACAAAGTACCCCTTCGTCTCGTCCAGCCTGCCCTTGCCACCAACGGCCAACTTGCCGCTCTTCTTGCCTTCTTCAATGTAGGACAAGATGTTCTTGTACTGGACCTCGTCCGCTTGAGGACCCATCTGCGTTTGTGGGTCCAGGGGGTTACCGCCCCGAACAGTAGCCATACGCTTTGTGAAGGCTTCGATGAACTTGGGCGCTACGCTCTTTTGGACGTACACGCGCGAGTTGGCGACGCAGATCTGGCCCGCGTTGAGAAGGATGCTCGACATGGTATCGGTGAGCGCCTGCTCGATGTTGGCGTCGTCAAAGATGATGGCAGGGGACTTGCCGCCTAGTTCGAGCGTAACGCTCTTGAGGTTGGTTTTGGCCGCTTCTTCCTGGATCAACTTGCCGGTGCGGCTAGAGCCAGTGAAGGAAATGGCGCGCACGTCCATGTGGCGGGCAAGGCAGCGGCCGGAGGGAAGGCCGTGGCCGGAGAGGATGTTGAAGACGCCAGGTGGGAAACCGGCCTTGGCGACAAGCTCCGCGGCATAGGCGACGGCGAGGGGAGCCTTCTCGGAGGACTTGAGGACCACAGTGTTACCCGTGATCAAAGCGGCAGCGGCCTTGGCAGCGAATAGGTACAGGGGCGCGTTCCAGGGGATGATGCAGGCAACGACGCCAAAGGGCTGGCGGAACGTCATGGTCACGTAGCCGGGCGTGTTGACGCTGGACTGGCCCTGGATGTGCGGCCATGCTTGGGCAAAGTAGTCGAATTCATCGGCGCCGAAGTCAGCGTGGAAGAAGTGGTTGACGGGCACGCCCATGGAGATGGCCTCGAGGTGGTGGAGGGTCGACTTGTGCTCACGGATCAAGGCGGCGAGCTTCTTGAGGTAGGCACCGCGCTTGGCAGGGTCGAGGGCAGCCCATGCGGGTTGTGCTGCTTTTGCCGCAGCAACAGCACGGTTGGTATCGTCTTCAGTGGCCTCAGGGACCTTACACGAGATCTCGCCGGTGGCCGGGTTAAACACGTTGAAGGTACCCTTGTCGGAGGCTTCGACGAACTGGCAGTTGGATGCTGTTAGCCTTGCTCGGTCATCAGGGTGTGACAAGAGTAACCTACCTCGCCGTTGATGAGCAGCCTCGGCTGGAACTCAACACCGTTGATGTTTACTGAGGTGGACATCTTGGATGGTGTATATGGGTGAAGCTCGTGATACGAGGTGGATTGATGACTGACGGCTCGATATTGGATTCCTACAATGTCGAGATGGTCCTGCCGGTTGATGTCTTGAGGTTGAAACTGCCGGGGAGGGGGAATTCAACCACTTTTAAAGGACGAGAGTGAGCAAGGATGGTGAAGCCTGGGGGACACAAGGGGAGGGGCAAACATCGCTTCGACTGCCCGATCTGGACGTTACCATCAATGAAACTCAAGCATCCGGTTCTTCTTCTTCTTGTCGAACAATGATTCTTGGCAATTAACACAGTCTGGAGTTTACAAGTACAACAAGCAAAATTCCGAGTCCATCAGCGGTCAGCGGCCGCATCGGCCGCCGATGATTAATCGCCCAGGCGGAGTGTTTTGTCATCATCCACACCACCTTGTGAGCAACTCACTGGTTTCATGTCATACAGAGTACTACCGGATTCGTTCACCTTCTCTGCCGTCGTCACGACTGGTGTCTTGTGGTGTTTTGACTAACAATCGACCACTACACCAATATCCCCATTGCTACCATAACCCACAGGGCAGTACGAAGGACTGTCACCTATTGTCCAATCATCGTGGGTTCTTCCATTCGGCAGCATGCGATATCACCTTGATGGCGTCAACTCCCCTGAATCTGCCCCGCAACCAAGACTTCATGTTACCTTCTTGCTGATAAGGTAAATTGTTTGCGAGGTTCTAAACGTCTCCCCGCATCCTATTGAGGAGCTTTCGGGATGAATACCTCTTTGAGGTACAGTAAGATAGGTGGTTGCATCAGCGAGAAACCTGAGACCAATCGAGAACCGAAGACGGGAATTTTATCACAGGGTATCTTTTCTGCTTCGAACACCTACCTATGCTTCGAAGGATGAAGATGTCTGACTGGATATTATGAACCTTCTTTCAGATGAACCCCCCAATTACTCCTACGCCGGCAATCAGTGAATAGGCACGAGATAGAGTGCATGCTTTTGTGCCCAAGTACCTAGGTATCTACCCACCTTATAAGGAGTTCAGCCAGGGATACGGGATAGGACAGCCGGAGACCAACACGACCTGTGCCTAGGTAAGTACTTGGAAGTTACTTCAAAAGACTCCAGCTCTATCTCATCCTGCCTCATCTCTCGAATAGAAACTTTCCAACTTTCTTCTTGCCGCATACCGGTGGTCGTCCTGCCGGAAACATCGACGACATTGGGGACACTATCGAAAGCTCCAGAGCGGGGTCCAAAGACCAAAGCTCCTGTCAGCCATCGATATTTTTTTGGTTGTAAGCCTCAAAACTGATTCGGTCAAGGCTCATGAGTGAGTGGGTAAGTGAGATATGGGATCGTGGCCGGTATTTGAGAAGTTGCGTTGGACATGGAATATGCGCGGTCGTGTGAGTGTCTCCTTTCCATGTTGTCCGGAGCACCTACATCGACGAGCCTCGTTGGGGAAGAAGTTGGAGGTGAAGCCCTTGCGTTCCGAATGGTTCATCATCTAGGGCATAGCTTTCTTTTGCGCTGGGCGAGAACATTTGAAGAGAAGGAAACAAGGTGTTTCATTGACGAGTGAGGAAGGAGGAGAAGCGGGAGGTGATGTCGGGATTGTGAGAAGACATTCTCCCTTGGAATAAGGACAACGAACACGACTTCAAGCAGGCTCTCAAACAGTCTTGGCGATATCGACATTGCGGAAAGAAAACGGAAACTGGTGAGGAGTCAGACCTAGCAGGGCCTCAGAAGAGCTTGCTACAGAGATGAGTACCCCCTTGAGTGCCATGCGGGCAAATCATTAACAAATCCTCCCGAGCTGAGTGGCGCTCAAAGGGGCCGGGCCGTCCTGCATCGCCGCGGCCTTTTGAGTGGTTAGCAGGCAGTGTGGTAGAGTTGATGTCTACTATAGTAAGCTGCTTACTACTGACTTACCCGAACAACATCAAGGCCTTCTTCGAGGTCTACAGATATGTCTACAGCGGGTATGTCTCCGAGAAGGAACTACGGCGAGTACTCAAGGTCACGGAGGCAATGTTTGTGAAATTGAGGTAGATCAAGTGGTAATTCCTTTCCTTTTTTCCCCTTCAAACAAAGTGGGAGAGAGTGAATGGACTAGACGAGTTCAGACAAACTAACACGCGACCCTCTCCATTCCGCCAAACATCAAACAGTACAGGTAGGTAACGACCGTTCCCATTCCGACAAAGCTCCTCAAACTATAACGACCGACTCCCAAAAAATTCCGTCTGCTACATCACTTCCCCTCTGAACCCCAAGTCTGCGATAGATACCTAGGTACCTAACCACTGACCCCCTTCTCAAACGCAGACATTGTCTCCAGCGCGTCCCTTGCCGACAATCTCCACGCTACCATCCCACTTGAAGTAACTCGCCTCGTACCGACGGCAAGTAGCATCCATCTGCGCTAGCGCATAGTTGACATCATCAACATCGAGGTTTCCGCTGCTCCTCGGCGCATCAATGCAATAGTAAACAATCATGCCCTCGGCCGACACCGCCAGAAAGGTGTTCTTGTCGCCGCTCGTCAGCGTGTGGCCACTGCCTGCCCAGTTCTTCAAGCCCACCACGGCGGCGTCGATGCCGCTCGCATCGAGTTGGTAGCCGAAGCACCCGACGTAGCGCTTGGCGATGGGCCCGGACCGCTTTTGGGTGGTGGTGGTGGTGGTAGTGGTTGGCTCAACGAGGAAGGAGTCGCTGTCGGGAGCGCCGGCGGCTTTGATGGAGTAGGTGCCGTTGGCGAGGATGGTGCCTTCCCAGACACCGTCGGGGAGGTGGAGGGCGGTGGAAAGGCCGAAGTAGGAGGCCAGGAGGGCGAGAGTGGAGGAGAGCTGCATTGTGATGGCGTAGGGGGTAATTTGATTCAGGATTTCTGAAGGTTGGTAGTTGTGTGGGTGCGAGACTGTTGTTGAGGTGTGTTCGTTGAGAGTGATGGATGAGGAGATGAGGGCTGATGTTGTCTCTGGAGAGCAAGAGGGAGTCGTTCATGAGTGCCGTCGCCCTCCCCCTTATACCTTCATCTCCGCGTATTCTGAACTCCATGCTTTTTTCACCATGGTCTCAGAGGAACAACTGTATCGCCGGTCAAGCTTCTGAATTGGTAATCATCATCATCTCGTGCTTTGGAATCACGGATGACATGGTTTCATTCCTTCTCCTCTTCGATTGATCCTGTCAGCCCATGAGAACAGCGCCTAAGCCCGTGCCAAAAGGATTGGTGAGGAGTCTGAATGAGGCTCCAAACCACGAGTGGTAGCGAGAAGACGCAGATGACGGTCGACACCCGGTCACATGATAGAGGCAGGGTATTTGCTGGAACAGGGTCGCACTCATACAACGACAGGTATGCACCCACAAATGGCTACGACCGGAATATAACGTAAGACTCTGCGATGGGCAGCCAACGGTCATACCTAGAGGTAGATAGTCATTCGAAGGGCGTTTGCTATTGAAATGAGCAGTCCTCCTCCCCAAACATGCCTAGAGGTATCTGCCCGCCTGGCATGGGTTAGTGGTCACCCTATGTCGCCAAGTCCATTGCATGGGAGTTGAGTAGGTAAGGTACCAAACGATCTAGAGACATACCCCATACATCGTTAGGGCCACCGATCTATCAATCATGCAGCGGAAGTCAAGCCCGGGACGCAGGTCCAGATGCCCCAGATTGAGAGGAACAAAGAACTCTGCAGATGATGACCTTTGTGGAGGGCCAGTTCTCCACGATAGGGAACCGGGAATACTACCTTGTGCTTAGAGTATTGTAAATCCGAGTATTATATGCCCATTGCTCTCACATGAAACCCCACAGATTTAAATACCTCTGGCTTCCGCGGAGATCTCAACGTCTAGGTACCTGTGTAACTTCACGGCACAGGCAGTGATCTGCGGCCTCTGTGACCATCACCAAACTGACTGGGAATGCCTTCAGAGTAGGTAGTGTTAGGCGTTCAAGTAAGCTCGTCTATACATGTTGTAAGCACTAGCTAGGCTTTTCGGCTCTACGTTGGAGACATCTGAGGCTTGTTGGCTGCCTCTATTACTAGACCTTGCGGGGGAGTGTTAGCAGTTAGGTTCTTTAGCAATTCAAAGGAAGGGCGTACATCGACTGACATGATGTGACTTTTGTTCAAGGCGGACTTCTTGACGTTGCTTGTGGTATATGTACCTCTAGACCCCGTAAGCCGCATCCCGCGAAAGTTTCCTTTCATTGGATCCGGACATGTCAAATTCAGGGAAAAGACAGTGGCATGGGCGGCCAGCTCACCTGGAGGATCTCAAGGGCACTCTAATCTCACCTCACCTCTGCCTCCAATATGGAGCTTCCTCAGTGAACCTCATTGGCGAATCAAGCAATTGTCGTGGCCTCAAGTTTACTGCCTCGATTGTCCACCTTCGAAAGGCGATGATAGTTACCACTACCTCTAGGGATCAGTTCTATGACCATGTCCGTCTTGGCGAGATGTGGTACATCAATCCCATATTGAGGTGAACTCCCCGTCAGCTTTATGTTAGGATACGTAAAAGGTGAGTTAAATGTGTCTCCATGTCTGTATCGCTGCGATCCATCCTTCCATGATTCCTACCTTTCTCTCTACACATAGAGGTAGGTACCTACCTTAGGTATACTCGTCAGGCCTTCAAAACCGAGCCTGTGACTAGCGGGTATCTCTGTGACTGTTCGTTCAACTTGAATTCAGCCACAACGTCTGTTGAAGTGTTACAGGGCTATCATATCATACAGCCTTGTCAATATAGTCGGTGGATTTCCTATCGTTTTCCACATAGGTCATGTTCATAACCTCGTGAACCTCATTCACCCCCTTCTTCCCTTGTTCTCTGCAATTTATCATGGCCTTTTCCCCATCTTCGTCTTAATTAGTTTCATATCATCGACTCCAACACAGTCGCTGAACGTAATGCTGATACGCACCATGTATGCCCCAAGCCGCGTGGACATGAGTGTCGTCTTTGCCTTGACGCTCTTCTATCAGCCCATAGCGGCGTTGGGAACCAACTTCCTCAACCACACCTCCCTGCTAACCGGTCTTGAAGATCCAGACTGGTTCGAAGAAAACATCCCCTTTCTCGACGTCCCTGACGCCCAAATCCAAGCAGTGTATTTGTACTACTACCGCTACCAAACCTACAAGGAACATCTCGTCTACACCGGTGCCCAATACGGGTACACGGCAAGCGAGTTCCTGCACCCAGTTGACTACGGTGCTCCATACGGCGGCGTGGTAGCCGCTGCCGGCCATCACATAACCGAGGGCCGCTGGCTGCGCAACCACCGGTACGGCCAGGGCGTCGCCAACTACTGGTTAGCCGGCCCCGGCACGTTTTCCAAGCCGACCACAGATAATGTCAACGCCGATACGAGCGACTGGGCCCACGAGTACAGTTTCTGGGCTGCTAGTGCTCTCTGGCGGCAGTATCTGACCACAGGTGATCGAGACTTTGTCGAAGGCCAACTGGAAAACCTGCCCGGTCAAGCAGTACCGCGGGTGGGACAACCACTTCAACAGTTCTCTTGGTTTGTACTGGCAGGTTCCGGTCTGGGACGCCACCGAGTACACGGCTGCGTCGTACGAGTCGAGCGATCCGTATCATGGTGGTGCTGGCTACCGCCCGACCATCAACTCGTATCAGTATGGTGATGCGCGCGCTATTGCCGCCATTGCTGCCCTAGCCGGCAATCGGGACATCAGCACGGAGTACACACAGCGCGCTGATGCGTTGCAGAAGGCGGTGCAGCATATATTGTGGGACACGAACGCCCAGAACTACAAGCACCGGGCCCGCGACAACAATCCGTCTGGAGCGCTGCTGACGACACGCGAGATCATGGGTTATTTGCCGTAAATGTTCAACTTGCCCACGGCCGCCAGTCACTCGGCAGCCTTTGCGCAGCTGAAGGACTCCCAGGGCTTTTCCGCCAGATATGGACCCACGACGGCTGAGCGCCGCAGCAAGTTGTATATGCACGAAGCCACTACGTACTGCCGATGGGACGGTCCCTCGTGGCCTTTTGCCACCTCGCAAACGCTGACGGCGGTGGAGAACCTGCTGAACGACTATCCTGCGCAGACGTACTTTTCCGCGGCAGACTACCTCGGCTTGCTGGGAGGGTACGCTGCGACCCAATACAAGAACGGCCAGCCATATGTGGCCGAGGCGCATGATCCTGATGCAGATGTCTGGATGTACGACAGCTCCGACCACAGCGAGGACTACAACCATTCCACCTTTGTGGACAACATCATCGCCGGCCTCATCGGCCTGCATGCTCAGCCTGACGACACCTTGGTGGTGAACCCAATGACGGCATTGTCTGACGCACCGGAATCACGGAGAACAGCCGCTGGACCTCCTACGCCAGTCCCAATGCGCAAGACTACTTCGCCCTCGACCTCCGGCGACCTCAGGCCGTGTCGGACGTCAGATTGTACTTTTACGACGACGGCGGCGGCGTTCGGCGGCCGGCCAGCTACGACCTTCAGTATTGGACCGGCGACGCCTGGATCACGGTGCTCAACCAGTAACGCAGCAGGTCTGCTCCCACATCGAACAGCCAGACCAAAATCACCTTTCCGACCATCGTCACCTCACAACTACGGGTGGTCGCACCCAACCCGGGCGCCGGCAACGGCTGGGGTCTGTCCGAATTTGAAGTTTGGACTTCGGCCGTGTTCCAGCTGCGCAACGAGAACAGCGGAAAGCTCATGGGGGTTGCCGGCATGTCGACGGCCAACAGCGCCAACATCCAGCAGTACGAGGACAACGGTACACGCGACCACCTGTGGGAGTTTGTCCGCGCCCCGGGCGGCTGGTTCAAGATCAGGAACCTCAACAGCGGTCTCTTGCTAGGCGTGCAGGGTGCCTCAACTGCCAATAGTGCCGTGCTTCAGCAGTATGAGGATAACGGCACCAGCGACCATCTTTGGCGGATCGTCTCCCAAGGGAAAGGCCTTTTCTTGCTAAAGAATAGGAATAGCGGTCTCTTTGCCGGCGTGGATGGCATTTCAACTGCCAATAGCGCGAATATCGTGCAGTTTGAGGATAATGGGACCAAGGATTACTTGTGGAGTATCCTTCCTGCCGTGCCAGCCAGTTGATTTTGCTAAATAGAAGTCTTGTATAGCTATCGCGGGGGACTAAACACTCAGTTGACTGCACATCGTGACATTTGAGGCGAAGGCGCAGGCTCAGCGTGCACCTAAAAGATGGGTATATGGAGCTTATCAGCTTGATGATGGCATGGAGCTTCGGAGAAGAAGGACATGACAGAGCCTCTTGAAGAGGATTTGGCGAATCCATTATCGGGGTTGGAAGGAGAACGGAGAAGGTGGTGGAAAACTGGCGGTGGAACACCTCTGATAGTACCGAGTTCGGTACATGTAATGGTGTTTTCAGGCATAATAGGGGGTAGGATGCTTAGGAGCATCCAACAGTACACAGATTCAACTGCCAGAAGGCAGCATTCCAGCAATTAGTAGGGGTAGGTTGGAAAACAGGAACTCAAGCTCGTATAATCAGCTCCGCTAAAGGTGGTATGACTCTGTTGGCGACCAACCGGATTCACATGTTTTCTCGCGGCGTGGTCCGACTTCTTCATTGCAAAAATGCCTCAGCCGGGGTCCATTCCGCGGCAGCGATTTGTTGGTTCCAAGGCCCCAGAATTAGGCAGACGAATTTTCGATGTTACCCTGATCTCCTCAGAACTAACTGTTGGTTCATAGTTGCAGCGGAAATACGGTATCGAGTGCATCAGCTGCTCAGTGTCTCTTTAGTCGTTGGCACCATGGCGTCACCAGTTTGACTGTGTGGCCTCGGCGATAAAGCCAGCGCGGGGCGGCCTTTGGCATTTCTTTGCTCCCTTCATGATCTGCTCACCAAACACTGAACCTTTTCCATAGTCAATAACAGCTTGGGGTCCGCATCATGCATAGCACCGAGAGCATAACATCGTTGGACGACGACGACGACGATGACGTCCGTCCGGCATCGAGCAGGATGCCTTCAGCATGGTTTTCGGGATATCGCCCGTTCCCTCCGGTCATCAATCTCTACGGCAATTTCTCTGGTGTCATCGACGCAGTGACCACGATGAAACTCTGCGGTGCGGACAAAAACGACTTCTTGTATGTCGTCGAGATACACCACGGCCTTACCCCCAGAGGACCGCTCCATTTCAGGCCGGGCCTCTACCTCCGGAACGGGACCAAGACCAACGCCCCTATCTTGGCGGCCGCCGGCGACGAAGATCGAGAACCCCTTTTGATGTCGACCTTTAGCGTAAAGAGTCTCATCATGCTGCCGCCGCCGCCGGACGTCGAGGTTAAGAACCCCCGCGACTTGGTTACCGAAATCATGTACGCCAAAAAAACCAGCGACGGTACCGTATCGTTCCGATTCTCCATCGAGGTCGGCCTTAAGATGAAAAGTCGCGAGGAATTTGAGTGGAGGAAGTTGACCGGGAAGGACAAAACCAACACCCAGCACGCCCGGTTTATTCTCGTTCGGCCGCCACCCTCGTCCACCTCAGCTTCATCCTCCTATTCGACACAAGAGGAAATCGAGGTACTCGCCGACCTTACGTTTTGCAATGTAATGTCTGTTAACCACTTGTTTGTGTTGGAGCTGAAGGGGGCGGCTGCTTCAGGGGAGATGGGCGACCGTTGGACCCTCATGGTTGTTGTTACCGCCCTCAGACTTTATTGGCTACGTTGCTATGGCAAAACCAACAAGGCCGTCGTGGGAATTGGGCAAAAGCTTCGGGGTAAATAGGTTGGTAATTGGTTTGTTATCTTCCTGTCCAGAGTTTCCACGTAATGTTAGCTTGTTAGTGCACACTTGTCCCAAGGAAGCTTACCCAGTTCGCCAGATCTGTCGAAACAAATTGATTCCCTAAATCAGGGCCTGCTAGATACCTAGACGTAATTCCGTCTGAAAAATGTCTTGAGGAGATTATTGCGTGGTACGGAACCGCATGATGTCCTCTTGGAGAGTTCAGCTGGCACTTGCATGTTGTGAGATCACGATGACTCGCGGAAGAAAGAAATGAGGATCGAGAGAAAGCGTAGTCCACTAACATCGAGAGCTGTGTTAGTTCAGCATCATGTGACACACATGGGGTCTCGTTCTTGCGCCCTACCTCATAATCGGCCTTGTAATTGTCGAGTGTCCATGCTGTGTTGACTGTTGACTTCTAGGAAGCGGTCAGAACAGCGGCCGCTTCAAAGCGCCTTTTCGCCATTGGTGCTATGGTAAGCACATCGCTGATTCTCCGGCTGACGATGAAGGGGCGGTTATGGAACTCAGGGTCCTGAATCAGCATTCTAATCGAAGGGAGCTTGTTGGAATTGCCAATGGGGGCAGACAAGGAAGTGGATGAGTGGGCGAGGGAGTGGAGTCTACCAAGTCTCGCGGCAGTTGATGTTGTTCAAGTCAAGGTAATTGAAGCCTATTAACAAGAAACAAGAGAAATTGAAAGCGAGGAGATCGACGGCGGGATGATTGATGTTTCGTGTAGGGCGCAGTGAAAATGGTGCAAATGGTGATGCGGACGTGCAGCGATTGGAGATGCCACCCCGCTGCCATCATGCAGGCAGACACGCATGACATTCGCACCCGCCCTCCAGTCCGAACTCGGTTCTGGATTCCGTTTCGCTGTTTCTTGAACTGACCTGAAGATTGGGTTGCGCTTCCCTCCGTTGTCGTGATTGTTCCATGAGGGCGCAAACACGGACATGGAAGACACATCAGCTGGAATAGGCAAGACCGTTTGAGGACGATGCTTCAAGCACTGCTGGACGAAAACAGCGACATGGAGCTGCCCAGAAAGCGGACCTTTTGCTCGTCTCACCTTCACAACCCTCTCGTCGTTGCCTCTTTTGGGTCTCTCTGCTCAGTGTGTCACGTGCGCGTCCATCCCACAGACTGCTCTCTTCTTTCTTGACCGTACCAGAACATCACTTTTTACACAGTTATCTGCTGCACGGGGGATATTTCTTTCAATATGAACAGCTTGAAGAAACCGGAATCCAATGTCTCGTTGCGCTGACATGGGTTGGGAGGTGTATGTTTCTCGGTCAAGTGATCAAGGTGAGACGCAGGCACTCCTGTCTTCAAAATACTTCGTCCACCTTGGTAAAACCGTCCACCCATATACTTGTCAAGCTTACTCAATTTGGATGCTGCCGGCTAGCCATCGCTCAAGTCTTAAGTCTGAAATGACTTCCTTGGCATCGTGAACTGGAAACCGTCCAACCAGGGTAATCCGCCTTCGAATTGCTGCCATCTATCCCACCGCCAGTGACTGAGAAGGTAAATTTTGCCCAGGCCACCGATACTCCCATGTAGTAGTTCCACCCTCCCCGCAACCCCGAACTGCCAATCACTACGTAACGATGACTTCTAGGTGTTATCCTTCCAGACCAATTCATCAGTCAAAGGACTCGAGTGGCAGTTACTCTACCTCCTCATCCTCCTCGCCATCCTCCTCATAATCGCCCTCCAACATCTTCACCACCTCATTCAGCCTCCCATACATAGGATACCCACCCGTCTCCTGAATCAACTCCCTAACCTCATCGGTCCAGCCCTCCTCATCCAACCGCGCCAATTCATCCCCGTCAAAGTGCGTCATCATCTCCAGCAACTTCTTCTCCATCTCATCCGCCTCCTTCATGAAAAGAGTTTTGTGATAATGAACGTCGTTTAGGGCCACAACCATATGCCTCATGATCTGAATCATAGCTTTGACTGCATTCTTCCTTGTCCCGTACGAACAATCGGATCCTCTAGCCTTTTCAACAGTCTTCAGAATGTCATCGAACCATTTGCCAATGTCGGACACTACGTCGAAAGCCTTTAGGTACGCCTAAGAGCCGGAAAGACCGGCGTACTCTGTGTTAAGCATTTTCTTAGCTCGTTGGGAGTCACGAGTAAACTTGATGATGCGGGCGCGTTCCCGAGCTCTTTCGAGGTCATGTTGATGAGCAACAATGGAGTTAATGTAGGGGTCCCGGGCAGCGGCATAGGCGAGCAGCGAGTTGGTGACGGCGGTAGGAAGGCGGGCAATTTGGGAGGAGGGAAGTTCCTGGGCGTTGAGGTTGAAGTCAGGAAGCATGCTGAGATCGCCGTTGAAGTTGTCCGGGAGGGTTGGAGTGTTTCCGGCTGGCGACACGGCCACAGGCTTCTCCTTGTCGGAGGCAAGGTTGGGGGATGCAGTGCGCTGTCGCTTTTCAGAGCGCGAGGAAGTGGTGCGGTTTGTCATCTGCTCTTTTGACTGCGTTTCGGGTTCGGTGACGCGGGACGCTGATTGCAATTGTTGAGGTCAGGTGAGAACTGCTAGGGAAGATCAAAAGGACGAAGTTGTCAAGGACCAAAAGTTCCAGTCGCGCTTTATCAGTTGGCTGAGGATTGTGCCTGTACTTCACCAGACTGACCACCCCGCTTTAAGGTTCTGTTATCTGGCAGTGAATGTTTTGCCCACGCGCGCACCCGGTTTCTGCTGTGATGAATGGTGTTTTTGGTGTTTTATACTATAGCGATTTGCGTAGGTAATCTTCAATGCCTCCAACTAGCTAGATCGACGACAAGCGAACGCGCTGTACTTCTATATAGGCATCACTAGACTGACTAATGATCACCATAGCAACATTATATTTGGGCCTTGTTTGGCTTTTTATCTGGGTTCAAAACTTGCAGCTTGCGTCACCAGGTAGAGGTAATCTTCGCAAATTTAAAATACCACAACCTCCCACTCGAGCAAACACGAGATGTCTATCTATGCCTTAGCGCTCATTCACCTGACTTCCCATTCACTGACACTACACCAATATCCCTACGCTGCGCTTGTTTCCATTTTCGGGCATCAAATCACAGATGGAGGATATTCAACACCTGCTAAATAGGTACAACATGCCGCTGCCCTTCCATCTTCGTCCTATCATGTACGCTATCGAGAGTCAAACTTGAGTAACTCACAATCCCGTCAAATGCCGTCTCCAACATCTCTTTAGTGAGTAACACAACGACAGCCAGGTTTGGTCATTTTAGGGTCATTCTATGCAAACTGTGACCATCCAACTACGGCCAGATCATACCATCAAGCAAACTATACGTATTTTGCAGCAAAAGGGGGGAAGTGAATAAATGCAGACGAGTAGGGGAAAAAAAAAAGCAGACAGATACCTGACCCTTTCTAGCATAATGTGCAAACCCATAACCTATCCAGTAATAAAATGCACTAGGAATGTATAACTCTCTTTGAGTATCTCTTTGCATTTCCCTGCAGTTCGTGCCCGAATACTGCGGATAGACATTCATAGCCAAGCTGCCAGCCATCCAGCCATCCAGCCAGCCAAGCTACCATCCAGCCATCCAGTCCCGCAACAGCCAAGACCCCTCTACCTATGTACCTAACCCGCTACAACTCTTGAAATCGCAAAAAAAAACTAGTCTCTCTCTCTCTCTTATATTAAGTAACTACCTAAGGTATTTACACTACCCTAGTCAAGATCGCAAACCACACAGTAATGTCTTCTCCACGCAGACATCCCCGCCCCCCCCCGCGCAGCAACTTATAAGCGAGCGCGGGCGGGCGCACAACAACTCACACAGCGGCCACCCAGCCACAGACGTTATAAGCAGCTAAAGGAAAACAAAACAAACACATACGACCATACCCACTGGAAAACTCGGGATCCCGTCCGCTCTCCCATAGATAAGCCAGTGAGGGCCAGACTAGTAGTTGGGTCGGTGACGACCAGCG